TTCGTAGTGAATTCATAGTGAATTCATTTTGCTATCTGGGATTTGTTATTTTGTCATTTAGGCGACATATTTGTTTTTGTGCCATTTAGGCGACATATTTATTATTGTGCCATTTAGGCGACATATTTATTTGTTGTAACTTTTTATATTTAATCTTCAAGGAGCATGGTCAAATCATATACATAAATCAAGGGACCTTAAACCCTAATAATAGTGTTATTTTTCACTTGTCTCGATAAGTCAATTGAAAACACAGATATTAATCAAACTGTAAAACTGGACCAATCACAATAATATTACTAAATGTAATATTGATACAAATTTAGTTTAAGAGTGTGTAATTTAATAATTTCATAATAACGTTTAACATTATGTATTCTAATAATTTGTAATATTTGTAAACGTATGTTAATTATAGTATTTAAAATATAAATCAAATGTTAATTCAATATTTTTCTAAATAATAAATAATGGAGAAAAATAGGCATTTGTTTGATGTACGTGACTACAAGCATTGTGTAATGGCAGCTAGTGATGTCGTATTTCGAATTAAAATATTTGTTTAATCCGAGTTTTAAGGTATTCGGATGCATCCGAATAATGAAATATTTTATGGAATCGGAATCGGAATAATTTCGTATCCTCCTATGAAAAATCCGGTTTCGGAATCCGAAATTCGGATGAATTGCATTCGGTATCAAAATTTATTGTTTATACCGTAGCCCTCTAGTTTTTACCAACCGAACTCGATGACGACTCATACGTTAAAAAAATGAAAACTAAATAGTTTAATGTCAATTACCAAAACGGAACACCATTTAAAATTATATTAGATATTAAATATTTATTGCCTAATATTATTTACTTAATTTTTGATATATTTATAATAAAATGATAGTTTTAATTTAAAATTAGTTAATTAAATCAAATCGAGTTTAAAGGTATTAGCGCCCCCTTTGTTGAAATGCCGCGAGTGTTACTGCTACTGGCTTACTCGGAATTAAAAAATGTGAATTCGGAATAGGATGATTAATTCGAATATTGAAATATTCCGATTCCGGATAATCCGAATATCTAAATCATCCGAATATCTGCATCACTAATGGCAGCCGTTGGAGAAATTAAAAACATGTAAATCAATCATTTACAGCAATATATGTAGTAAAAATAATATCAAACTAACCTGTATATTCCTATAGTATAAAGAACCCACAATGCACGAAGATTGCACTATTCTCTTTTAAGCTTCTTCGCCCTTTTAAGACTCGACTCCCGTGTTCCGTCACCAACAGCCAACACCCTAATAATCCAATCCAAAAACCTTTTTCGGGCTTCCTTCCCACCATCATCAAATAATGGACTCGTCCAAAGACCGTAGAAACTTCTTTATGCATGCGCATCGTAGAAGTTTCTGTCAATTCTTTTTAAGGATTAACAGCACTACTTCAAATATTAATTAAATAAGTAACCTATTTACGATAACCAGATAATTCACAATAATCTTTTAAACTTAATCGTTACATTTTTATAAAATAATAATGATTATAAAACCAAAAATACACAGCTGTACAAACAGTTCCCTATAACTAAAAGCATAAAATTGTAATTAAATAATAATATTCAATTAGGGATATTTTAATATTACAAAAATATAAGTATGATAAGTATAGAATTCGTCAAGACAAGTGACATTTTTCAGAGAATACTAAGGGTGGGTCACCACCCTACAAAGTATTGACTATCCTGCCGTCCTAAGCCAAAAAGACTCATCTCGTTATTATTAAATTATTCTCTTGGAAAAAAAGATTTTAAAGTATTTTAACTCTAAATTAGGGTGAGTCAAAAAAACTGAATATTTTTTTTTTACTTTGTACTCTAAAAAATCGGTTACTAGACAACTTTAGAGAATTCTCACCAAACATGAGCTCTTAATTTTGATAACAAGGTCCTCCGCTTTACAATTTTTCATTTTTTCCTCAGTATTGGAAACAAAAATTCATATCTCTTCGACAACTGTTCGTTAATAAATAACTCTCCTCATATTCTTATAGGAAATCGAACGCTCTACAAAAAAGGTATCTTACAATTTTTTCGTAAACCTCACCGTTAAAAAGATATCGAACTTCGATAATCGAAGGTTCAAGTTTAATTATTTTAAGAGAAATTTCTGTTTTGCTTATGAATTTTATAACTCGCTTACAAAAAATTTTTATGAATCGCGCAAATCATAGTTTTGTACGAAATTAACTGCTCTACAAAAATGGTCTCTTATGATTTGTCGATTAAATTAAGCGTTTAAAAGATATTTATCGTCAAACTTCAATGCATACTAATTTTAACAGTGTTTAATGAATATTTCGAAAAATTTCAATTTAATTTTTGAGTATTACGAAAATTTATACGAATACATTTATAATATAATCGTACACTTTTACTGTAAAAAGTTTTTTCTACTTCTATTATGGAATATGACCGTTCTAATATCACTTTTATCTATGGAATGACATATATTCCGTAAAGTGTTACAGAATGAAATATTCTATCATCTGATGACAGAATAAATACTCGTGGCGACATCTCTGTTTTTAATATCTAACAAATTTTAGACCGATCCAACCTCACTTTCTTCCAATTAAATTATTTGTCAATGGTATTTTTTGGAAACGTAAAAAAAGTATAGTCTGAAACACGTTTGGAATTGCATATTCCCCTGTCGTGAAACCGTCAAACTCGCCTTCGGCTCGTGTGACAAACTTTTCACTCGAGCGGAATATGCCGTATTCCAATCTTGTTACAGAATATAGTATTCTGTATTACAATTTGGGTTCTAAACAAACGCCATAAAAAAATAACAACTTGATCAGGATTTTAAGTTATTATAAAGATAAATTTCATGAAAATATTATTAAAATAAAAAAGTCTCAAATAAATTTTCGAAAGGGAAACTTCTACAACTTTTACGATAGAAACTCAAATTTGTATAAATTTTCTTAAAACTCAAAAATTAAATTGAAATTTTTGAATTATTCATCATAAACTGTTAAAATTAGTATGCATTTAAGTTTGACGATGAATATCTTTTAAACGCTTAATTTAATTGACAAATCATAAGAGACCATTTTTGTAGAGCAGTTAATTTCCTACAAAACCATGAGTTGCGCGATTCATAAAAATTTTTTGTAAGCGAGTTATAAAATTCATAAGCAAAACAGAAATTTCTCTTAAAATAATTAAACTTGAACCTTCGATATCTTTTTAACGGTGAGGTTTACGAAAAAATTGTAAGAGACCTTTTTTGTAGATCGTTCGATTTCCTACAAGAATATGAGGAGAGTTATTTTTTAACGAACAGTTGTCGAAGAGATAAATTTTTGTTTCTAATACTGAGGAAAAAATGGAAAATTGTAAAGCGGAGGACCTTGTTATCAAAATTAAGAGCTCATATGTTTGGTGAGAATTCTCTAGAGGTGTCTAGTAACCGATTTTTCAGAGTACAAAGTAAAAAAAAATAGTCGGTTTTTTTGACCCACCCTACTATACATACATTTGTAAGTACCATGGCTCCTAAAAATTTCAAATTAAATTGAACGTATCTTAGAAAAAAACAATAAAGCGCTATAATTTATAAAGTAAAAATGGTGAGTTGCGTCTTTTTGGCTAAGCACGGCAGTATCGCTCTAGCGTAAAAATACTGTTTGTTAATTATGAACTATTTAGGATTCCTTGTTTAATAGTAATTTAGTCCAGGCCAAGCCCAGGCTACTTATGGTTGTTTCAAAACCAATAGTTGGCAAGATGGATTTTTCACGGTTGGTTAGAACTTGCCAAAAGTCCACACTCAAAAGCCTTGTACAAATTCCTATATGTATATGTATAAGTAGCCTGGACTAAATTACCAAATTTTGCAATATTCTCGTATTATTGAAGAATATATATATATAATATTCTTTAGGTTTGCACTCCACAAACAAAAACATATTCATGTATACCGATTATGTATTTAATATGTCCATATAGATGTATGTATTTTATTTTATATTATAAATACAATAAATAAATCTTATATTCATACTTGTTTTATTTAAAATACAGCCGTAAATACAATATATAAAGGCACCCTACGAAGCATCAACATTCAAATATGGCGCCAATATATCTTACAGAAATCTACTTCAATTTTTGACATTGCTAAGGGTATTGTAGATCTAGATGGCGTTAATTAACTTTAGCCTTTTGCCGCTAGCGCTAGTGCAGTTTCCAATCTATGGGGTGTATTATCTTTGGTATAGCCCACTTTTGTGACGATGTATATGATTCGAATGTCCATAATTGAACATTTAATGACAATTTAATAATTATTTAGTTAAATTATTCGCTATGGACAAAGGAGCCGGGCGTCAAATGCTTACCTCTGGAACTCGACCGAACTTTTACATAACATAAATTTTACTGTTGACAAATTGCATTCGGGACTTGAACAAGGGGCTTTCCGAACAGACTCTTGTGGTCGAGCCGAGTCGATCTAGTGGAGGGAAGGGTTTGTTCTGTGGGAGTTCTGAGGTGGTATTCATTTATTGGAGAGATCAGGGAAGGTATAGTTTGTTTAAATTCCCTGAAAAAAAATTGTTAGTATATTTTTTATCACTTTCCGACGGGTTTGGCATCCAAATTAAAGATTTAGATTTTATAAACATACTAACCATTTATTCTCCTTTAATATTGCTCCTGTAAGTATACCGCACTTTATACTTACGAATTTGTCCCATTACATAACGATACAGAAAAATTATTAATTGATAATTATAATTATCATTTTCGTAAAAATTTTGAGAAAATATGATTTAAACGCTATGGTTAATTTTACCGAAAAGTAGCATGACTAAAATAGGATAGTATTAATAGTTATATATAAACATATAAACATATAAACATTTTTAAATAAAACCACAAGGGAGTAAAAGTAATAATAATAGGTATTTTTATTTTATTTTTATAACAACTCTTAATACAAAATATAAAAACATTGGACCCATTAGTCATTGTGGCACACATGATCACATGCTTTTATCAATCACTTAAAATTAATTTTACATTTATTTTGTACAATAGTTAATTTTTTAACGTCATAAAATCGAGAAAAAAAATAAAAAAAACATTTCTTAAAGGTACACACTATTAAATGCATACTAAAACTAAACATCACATAACAAAGAATATAAAGCTAGCAAATTAAAAGATACAAACAAATAAATTGAGTCTGCTACATAATTGCACTAACCTAAGACAAATACTTAAACAAAGAGATTCATTTTTTACGTAGTACGTCAGTTTTCTGCTTCGGCCGAAAAATCCTTAAGCAAGTTCCTTCTACATTTAACATTACCCTCATAAATAATTAAATGTATAGTGTAATCCTGCTTGTTTCTTAACGTATACCCTATACTCAGTTTACAGGGCCTCTTCCACTTGGTTTCCGTTTGCAGCTTTTTGATGCTCGGCCTGTGGAACTCAACAGAACCTTCGCACAACATAAATTTTACTGTCAACGACTCGCATTCGGGTTCTATCGACTCGGACTCTGAATCGAACTCGAGTTTGGTCGGCTTAAATCGTTTCGCAGGCGAGTGAACGCTGTCCGAACGTATCCTTGTGGAACTTTTATTTGGAGTCGAGCTAGTAGAAGGGAGGGTTTGTTTTGTGGGAGTTCTAAGGTGGTATTCATTTCTCGGAGGGCTAAGAAGTGAAGGTATTGGCTTTTTAGGTTCCCTGAGAAAAATATTGTTAGAACATCTTTATAGATTAAATAAAATGATCATTACCTGGGTAGCTTAACTACATGTGTATCTCTAAAGCCGATATTTTCGACGGGTTTGGCGTCAGAAAAAAAGTGTTTTACTGTCGCCACGTTAGATTTAATAAACAAATTAACCTTTTTTTCGCCTTTTACTGTCTGTCCAAACCAGTCCAGCACGATGTCGTCAGACAAGTAATATTTTACCGTAGTTTTATAATTTTCTACTAAATCTATGTAAAATTCACCAAAATCCTTGGCCTCTCTTATTTGGTCCTCTGTAAAGTCCATTATACAGATGATGTTACTACAAGAAATAAAATAGTAATTAAATTAATGTAACCTACTATACTATATAATTTCCGACAGTTTTGGGAATTGAAAATTGTGAAGAAATTAATTAATATAAATTAAATTAAATATAGTATTAAAACTGTTTAATGACAGCCTAATAATCAGTTAACAATAATAATGTATAAGCTAAGCTTTCATTTGTGCAATGGACTGGGCCAAAAAAATCGATAATTTTTTTTAGTATATCGAAAATATTGTTTGGGGTGACAAAAAAAAATATTGTGAAAGTTTGAGTCCATAATAATAATATTAAGAGGTCTATCATCGCAATTTTATCTTTTTTTTTCCTGAGCGAGTTTTTGTCTCAGAACTTCCAAACCATTAATTTTAACAAAATGCACAATGTCCAATGTGCATTGCATAACCTTAAAACAAATGTGTTTTAACCCGAACCCAAACCCCACCCATTTTAAGAATCTTTACCACATATTAAAATAATGGTGCGAGGCTCGCTACCCCCTGTGCAGTGTTGCCAACACGTAGGGAAATTCCCTATTCGTAGGGAAAAAATTGTTTATTTTTTTAAGTGTAGGGAAACAGGACAGAAATAATTTTTGTAGGGAAAATTTTTGTTCCATTAAAATTGGCCTTTTCTAAGAAATTATATATTAAGAAAAACCGTACCTGATTCAGAAATTATAAAAAAAAGCAAAACTAGAAGGAACAACAGCAACTTCTTTGAATAAAAACATATTAAAGGGACAGGGAATTTTTATTGGGTTGGTAGGTACTATCTATATAAAATGTTGGCAACACTGCCCCTGTGTAGTAGGGTGAGCCAAAAAAACTAACCTATCGGATTTATGGGTTAAAATGAACCTACATACCGAGCAAAAAATTTTTTGCTCAATTTTAAAAGGTGTCGGTGAGCATTCTAAGTTTTCCTTTGAAATAACTAAAACTGCAGTTTTAGTGATTTTTTACACTTTTCAAAGCTTTCAAACGTACGAATTTTTTAATTAAAAAAAATAATCCTGGTATAGATTCTTTGGGAAATTTTATGCTCTACAATAATCCGCGACGTAAAAAATTTTATCTTAAACGGTTCAAAAGTTATAGTCTTTTTAATGAAAAAAGATTTTTTTACGTGTTATTTCAATGGAAAACTTAGAATGCTCACCGACACCTAAGATTGAGCAAAAAATTTTGCCTTGCAGGGAAATTTTTTGCTCGGTATGTAGGTTCATTTTAAGGTTAGTTTTTTTGGCTCACCCTACTGTGTAGCTTTCGGTTATTTGTCCGTTAGTACTCTACTGGTGTCAAAAAAGCCCGATATTTTACTTGTACGATATTACGATTTTTGTACGAATTGGGGTTTGCGTAACCCCACATCACCAGTTTTTTTTTACTAGAGTTTACTAGAAATACGATTTTGTCAAAACTTCGTTACTTTGTTTTTTTAAAGAAATTTAGAAATGTTTTTCGCTATTTTGTAGTTTTTTTATATTTTCAGTTTGATTACTTATAGCAATTAAAAATAGGTTTTTAAGTGATTTTGAGGAGTCCCACAGTAAAATTAAATTATTGCTAAAATTTTTGTTTTTTATTTCTGTTAAAAGTATGTATGCATTATAATCAATAAAGGTTACCGAAAATTAACAATTAAATAACATACGCGTCATCAGTTACGGGTTAAAATTACATTTATAGACAAAATTTACTGAAAGTTACAAAAATGTTACATATATTTTTAAATATTCATCTTAAAAGTTTGTATTTGGTATACATTTAATTTCTGATCTACAAGGTTGATAATATCATATTATAATATGAATAACTAAATAGGTACTTCGACAAATTTTAAATAAATCACACATTAAGTGATATTTTTTAATTTGCATTTAGTTAGATAATACAAATCGTTTTTCTTAAAAAAATATATTCATTTTTATTAGAGCCTTAAAACTCGCGTAAAACTTATTTGCCTTATGTTTATGGTTAGAGGGTATACGCTTTTGCCACCTTATGACAAATATTAATAATAATAATAATAATTTCTTTATTGCCCAACAGATAAATCCAATTACAGGACAATGTTTACAAAATAAAGTATGAACATAAGATATATGGCAATATTATAATATTGTTCAACGATAACGATCCGAATGGAAATGGCCATTTTTCAAGGGTTAAACACTTTACGTTTTCTAATTTTATAAAAAAATTTAGTAAAATTTTGTTTAATTACCACCACATATTCGATGACAAATGTCAGTTTCAATTATTTTTAATAAAATAATGAACCACTGTATAATCGGCATAGTAATGGTAAATACTACTGTGAAGAAAATTGACAAATTATCAAATTCTGATTCTGATTCTTTTTTGTACTCGATATAATAATCTGACTAAAAATTAAACATTGTTACAAATGAGCAATTTAATTTGATTTACTTTGTCACGTGACGTCCTAAAAAACCCTCCCCCCTTGGGCGTGACAAATCGTGACGGTCCTTCAAACCCCCCTCTTACTTTTAGCGTCACGAGATTCATCACGGCCTCTGTAGGTACTACAAAATTGTTTATTGCATCATTAATATGTAGTTAAAAAGTTATAGACCCAGTCTCGTTTTTATTTCCGCAAGTGCGTAATTGCTTTAATATTTCTTTTTTTTAATTTGACATTGTCAGTTCTTACAAATATTTTTTCGTCACCATAATATTAGTAATAAACCAAACAAGTAAAAATCTCTTACTGTGCGATGTTTTAATATTACACTATACAAACTTTTTGAAGATAATTAAATGTTATTTGGCTATAATATTTTACGAATATGTATATTTTAGGTACGTACCGTTTCTTTCAATGACGATTTAATTTTAAGTTGATTTTTCTTGGCAAATCGTAAATTTTGTGACATATTTAATTTAAAATTACAAACGTCAAAATAGACTTAATTATTATTGGCATAGCAACCACAATCCGTTGTGATAGCAACCGAAATCTTAAATTCACGTTTTTAAAAATGCTTGTTTTCTTGGATTTCTTAAATTTCAACATCATTGCGGAGGCTGACTAATAACGTTTTACGCGTTATATGTTACCAAAGACAATTTTTAAAGGGCCTATATTTTTTGAATATAAAAAAGTTTTTTTTAGTGGAACAATATTTTTATTATTAAACTAGTGTAACAGTAACTTACTTTGTCCATTGTTTTCGAGCGTATAAGTGAGTGTGGGACAATTTTTTTGTCAAAAATAGAGACTTAAAAGGGGTCCATACTACGTATAAAAGAAAATAAGAAAATCGTTAACCCCCTTCTCCAAATAATACGAGGTAAGAATTGTTTGTAGTTTATTTTAATATGTTTTGATTAACCTACTACTAACAAGTTATGATCTTTTAAAATTCTAATAAGAAATATGAAAACATGCGGCATTACCATAATAAAAATAGTATTATGATTTAAATTATAAATACCTATTTGTAATTTTTTACTATCCAACGTAGGATTTATAATATCCCCGTTTTTTGTCAGTAAAAGTAAAAAAAATTTAACCCTCTAAGCCTTATGTAATACTTGTTGAAAATAAAATTTCTAAACTTTAATAGGTACTATAAAGCATGCTCAGCAATTAAAACGTTTTTTTCAGTTTATAACAAAATATTTTTTTACCAAAATGTCGTTTTTTTATTTTTTTGGGGGGAAACGCGGTTTTTTTGGGAAATCAGTTTATCCGGAAATTTTAAATCTTTATACCTATACTATATTAAAAATTTTAATTTTAATTTAAAATACAACAAATATTTAAATTCCGCGGATTTTTCCCAAATATGTGTAAATTAGGTACTGTCCCCAGTTCAAGTGGGTACCATATACGAGTATAGTCGTCGAGGCGAATGTTTCAAATTGCGTCATCAATGTCGAATGTCAAAAACCGATTTCTCGACATACGGTTAACCTAGCGGTTCCTTGGATTATATACGTAAAAGAAAACAACAATTGTAATGTCTGTGCTGGGTTCAGAATTTGATGACGCAATTTGAAACATTCGCCGCGACAACTATACCAACTTATGTGTAAAAATTTTTAAAGCAAAATAAGTAAATTATTTTACTTCAATTTACTATTTTCCTCTCATTTTACCATAAAAACAAATATGAGCGGCAACTTGCAGATTCGGGCCTGTGTTAAAAAAAATAAAATTGTGCCTTGAAGATAAAAAATTTAATATTGTATACTACTTATCAATAAAATCCGAACACCATGAAATTGTCAACATATATCGCTAAAACTTTTCACTTATAATTTTACATCATTGTACATCAATTGATTAAAGTTTGAATTAAATCCGATAAAAACTATCCTTTTTTTGTTTAATTTTTTATCATATTGAGTCGTATTTATTTCAGTGTGTTTGTTGGTTTTTATAGCATTATTGCCATTCAGTTTGCTAAAGTTTGTTAATGTGAACACCAAATAATGCCTCGAGTACGAAGAAATCAAGGTTTTCGTCAATTAACCCCATTTGAACGGGGTCGAATTGTCGGTCTCAGGGAAGCTGGTTTTTCAATTAGAGAAATTGCCAGAAGAACAAACCGATCTGCATCGACGGTAGTTGAGTGTTGGCGTGCACTGATAAAAATGGTATCCTTGTGGCAAAAGAATCCATTCATTTGAAAAATATTGATTTAATTCAAAGAAACTGTATTTATTTTAAATCCGTTTCCCTTCGGATAAGATAATTGCTGCATTTAGGTGTAATTCTCGATTCTTTTGACATTTAATTACTTTAAGGCAAAGTAAAGGCATTTAGACAAAAGAAATCTTCAATTCATGTCTTTCTGTCAAAATTTAATGTTATTGCTAGAAATTCCACAGTTTTGTGCCAAACTACACTGATAAACATGGATTATTTTAGGCAAAAGAATCCATTCATTTGAAAATTATTCTTTTAGTTTAAAGAAAGTTAACTTTTTGCAAATTCTTTGGCATTTGACTAAAATAGGT